GTATTATGGCAAATTCTGTAGTGTCTAAGATGTGTGTGACATCTGTAGAAAAATATATTTCGGAGGTACCTCGCGAAATTTTTTTAGAAACAGCAAAATTCAAACGAGCACAATTTAAAAATACTGCAAAATAAAAGATTTGCCTTCGACTGCAGTAAACCAGAAGAATCGATAATGTGCTAGGTATATTTTGTTTTTTTCTCCAAATTATTTTATTGGGTTCCTGGGACCAATTTGTCAAATAAGGTGGATTCGTTCTTGTTTAAATGTTTACAAGCATTTCCAAATAAGGTGAATTCGTTCTTGTTTAGATGTTTACAAGTATGTTTACATCAATAAACTACAAAAGAAAAACACGTGTTTTATATTACGATAATCTAAAATTACATTTAAAAAAAGGAAAGTTTTCAAAAGATTTTCCTAATTATTAATGTTATTTATTGTAAGGCATATGAGCAATGCGGTGAATAAACGATTTTTGAAAGGATGATTGTCTTGTGAACTTATCGTTCACATGTCAAAAGTAATATTTAGCCACTTACTAAATGTTTACATTAAATTAATTATCCCAATCGTCCTACGCACAAGCAGCAAAAAAAAAAGAAATCGGTAGAAGAGCGTATTGGAATATTCGACTTCATATCACATTCCTCAAAGAGGGCTCGAGACAAAAATTTTGCAATAGCACCGGCTTGTAGTCGGCGGCCTTAAATTTTATATTTCGCGCCAGTTGAGATCTTGGTCCATCTCAAAACATCCCCGGACAAGGCGCGGGTGCCCAAATTCGAAATCATGAACGAGTGCCCGAAAACAGTCGAACCATGTCCACTTCGAGACAAGTTTTTTCAAAGATGGCTCATTTTAGAAGATTCGCCACAGCAGCAGCTTGTAGTCCAAACCCCTCAATTTTGTATTTCATCACAAGTTAAGTCCCCGGCCGACATCAAATTGTTCCTGGAGTGGATGAGGCGCGGATGCACGAATTTTAAAAGATGAACGAATGCGTCAACCATCCCCAATTTGAGGCCTATTTTTTTTAAGGGTTTATTTTGAATTAGTTGCCATATTACCAGAATGTGCTCGAGGTCATTGAATTTTATACTCCGCCAAAATTTCGAAAGATGACCGAGTGCGCCAAAACGGCCGAGCCATACCCACCTAAGGGACCGTTTTTCTCGGGAAGAACTCATTGTGAAGTATTCGCCGTAGTACCAAGATGTGCTGGAGGGTTCTACATTTTAAAGTCCGCCTTTATTGGGTTATTCTGTAGTCCTCAAAAAGTTTCCTGTTGAGGCGCGGGGTGCCCAAATTTCAAAAGATGAACGAATGCGTCAAAACGGCCAAATGGCCAACCCCATTGAGACGATGCTACTCGATATATGCGTTTATTTTTGATGATTTGGCGTGATGGACCCGGATGATAAAATTATCATCCGCGTTTTCGCAACGTCAGCCTTGCGCCTGTTCGGCACGAGTGGTAACTTTAGCGCACCACCGCGTTTTCCATTGGCTGGGATTCTTTTGTAAAATGTACTGATTTAGTGGTTTTCGCTGACGCTCAGCAAGTTTCTGACTTGAACAATATGTTTATGTTTACTAATTAAAATTACTCAACTTATCATGACGATTATCTCCCTATAGAATGTCCCCCAGGCCGTATAACTTACGTGATTGTACTGCATTGGGGTAGCCTTGACGGATATTTAGAAAGGATGAGAACAGTCTAAAATGAACACCCTGTATACATGATATAAATGTAAGAAATGTAATATTGTAGTACATTTGCACGTGGTTTCAATGCCGCATAAACGATACTTTCTATAGCTCGTTTCCGACGCCATCAGCTTGTAGCCGACGCTACGAGCTGATGGCACCAATCAAGCAGCGTCAGAAGCGTTAGTTACTGGGCCTTTTCGTGTTTATGACTGGTTCAGCGATGATAGAGCACGTACAGAAGCATGACGAACGCCATGATGGTGCGCTGTTAATGTTGTGTGATTGGTCGCATCAGCTCGTAGCGTCGGCTGCGTCTGAACTCGTAGGGTAAACGAAGTATAGGCGATATTGCCGCGTGCGTGGCGGAGCTGGCAGCGCATGCGGCTGTCACAGTCACACAGAGGAATGTGGTTCGAATCCCGCTCGGCCCAGATCCTTATGTTAAAATTTCTGTGCTCCTCTATACTTCGTTTCAGCTTCGGTCCGAGCGCGGCCGATGTTATTGAAATTGAAAGTTTATTGGGATTTTCACGGGCCAAGCCCGGGGAGGTAGTGGCAAAAGGCCTTTCTGCTTGACTGGGCCTCTACCCCCCACAGTTTACAGAAGTGCAAAAGGTGGCACAGTATACAGCATTGTAGCATTCTTTTCTGCCTAAATATACATGCCTGTGTACGTAAAATACATTTCATGCAACACATTAAACAAAAATTTCATTTCACACAACAAAATAAAGAAAGAATACTCAGGAGTTTCAGTATTCACATGTCCAGTGGTGGACCCAAGGTAACAAAAAACAAAAACAAAACATTTCTACAACGCGTAACAGATGTCTTTGTCTATAAGAATTTGTTTAATCTCTTTCTTGTATTTATGAAATGACTGTACAAAATCAGTGTAATCTTTCATGGTGTTTAGTAATGCAGGAATCTGATAATCAATTTTCTGTTTTCCATAGTTTGTACGAACCTTAGGAGTTCTACGTTTACTATTTCTCGATAGATAAAGTTGTGAAGCAGATTCATCTACTCGGTAGAGTTTTTTTGTTTGTTTTTTGTGTATTGTCTGCATAAGTTTGAAATAGTAGATTTGATTTGCTTTGAGCATGTTATGCTTAGTAAAATAAGGGCTGCTATGAAATTCGCGAATATTGCCACGGTAATTTTCCAAAATTCGCAGCACCTTTTTTTTTTTAAGTACGATTAGTTTATCATAGTTTGTGGACGTGGTTGTTCCCCATACCATAATTCCATAAGAGAGCCTTGAGTAAAACAGGGAGTAATATAAGTTTTTGGTAAGCCAATTGGGTATTAAGTTTGCTATTTTATACATGCATCCGACCACTCTTGATAATTCCCCCCCTTAACTTATTAATGTGAGATGTCCAGGTCAGTTCTTCATTGAACCAGACTCCAAGAAACTTTTGTTCTTCTACTTGAGCTATTGGGAGGCCATTGAATTGTAAATGTATTTGGTTATTGTCACGTTTGTTTATCGGTCTAAATATTATATATTTTGTTTTTTCTGCATTAAGTTTGAGTTCGTTTTCTTCCAACCATTTTGATAGTTTCACGAGGTAATCATTAGCGTGTTGTTGTAAGGATGCCTTTGTGTTGCTACTGAAGAAAACATTTGTATCGTCAGCATACATTACGAGATGAGCAGAATTGGGGATATCGGTTATGTCGTTTATATACACGAGGAAGAGTAGCGGGCCTAATATAGAGCCTTGTGGTACGTCATGTTTGATTTGCTGTTTGATGAGCCGAAGGGCCAATCAAACAGCGCAAAAAGCGGCGTGTCATGGCGTGCTCTCTGCGCTTGATAGGACTAGCCGGCGAAGGAGCACGCACAGAGAGACAGCGAATACCGGCTGGTCCTATCAACCGCAGAGAGCACGCCATGACGTTGTGCCTTTTTCGTTGTTTGATTGGCCCTTCGGCTCAAAACATCGGCCGCGCTCAGACCGAAGCTGAAACGAAGTATAGGAAATTCCGGCTCATTCGCGGCTGTCGTCGAGTGTTCTTGTTCAAAACATTCCTGAACGTGCCGCGTGTATGAAAGCAGCGATAACGCGCAGTTTTGAGTCATATCAAATTCATATGCTCTTTTTATTGGTGACAACATTGCGCCTGGTGGAAAGTGGATATAAATCAACCCGTAAAAAATTGTGTACCTGAAATACATAAGCTGGCAATCCGTCCTTAGTTAGGTCCTGTACGGAATCAACCACTCAACCACTAAAATTCACAGGGTCTCTTATGTTATCCCTAAGACAACTTGAAGGCGAAAGCCCAAGCACCGATGTAAACGTGATAGCGAACCTCCGAAGACAGCGCTCTCTCTGACGACGCAATTTTGGCGCCGTTTTATTGGCTCACTCGGGTCGTGGTGTCGGCTGTGGTCCAGGTGATAGCGAACCTCCGAAGACAGCGCGCTCTCTGACGACGCACTTTTGGCGCTGTTTCATTGGTACCTTTAGTTTTGGTACCGTTCGTGTCGCCGACGTGTTTGTTCTCTCTCAAAAACTTTGAAGGTCGACTGAACGATGAGGCATATAAGGCTTTCGCCTTAATAATAGCATACGGTTTATGCCCTATACTCACTCACAACACACTTATCTCTTAAGGTACCTATCTATATCGCACTCCAAGTCAACTGAAAGAACTATAGCGGCGGAACAACGCTTGCACTTTTGGCAAAGCTAATCCTGCCCTCCCCCACATCAATCCCCCACAATCCTGCCCTCCCCCCCCCCCCCCCCCCCCCCTTAAGAACTATAGGAATGCGGGCGATGACTTCTGCGAAATTGTTTAGAAGTTCCGATGTTCTTCCGAGAGAATGATAAAGTTGTCCGTAGTTTGCAGCCACACTGTTCATTATCTCGTCCTTTTTTTTTTTTTTTTTTTTAATCTTCGAAGCTGTTTTTTTTTTTTTCTTTTTTTACTCGGCACACACTCCGCTTTGGCGGAAATGTGCACATGGCGTAAAAGTTAATGGTGAATACGCCACGTAGGGACCGATAAGTGAACTAGAAGCGCCTGTCGGAAACGTCTGGCCATGTCTGTTTTCTCTGGCTTGACGATGTTTTATAATGGGGATGGGACCGTCTCTTTTGGGGAGGTGCGAATGCTACTTAGAATCGAATAGTGCAGTGCCATCCCTATAGCGTCTCGACTGCAAAGAGGCACATCGTGGCTCTCCCTTGCAGTGGTTATGAATGAAGCAGTGCGTGCACCATTAGTTTGTTCGCATGCCCTTACTTCTTGCTCTTCCTTTCTTTCAGGTTTCTGGGACGCGGCTCCATGTTCGTCTTCTCCCGCGCCCAGTTCCTGGGGCTCTTGGGGTTCTCGGAAGACGCTTCGGGTCCGATCTTCTCGTCCCTCCTGGACATCGGCGCCGGGGACGGTAACGTGACGGCCGTTCTGGCGCCCTATTTCCGCCGCGTGGACGTGACCGAAGTCTCGCCGCCGATGCGACGCATCCTCCAGCGCCGGGGCTACCGCGTCCTCGACGCCGTCAGCCTGACGTCGGAGAGCAACTGCACCTCCTCGGCTCCGGCCGGTTACGACGTCGTCTGCTGCCTGAACGTGCTGGACCGCTGCGACGCGCCCCTGGCTCTGCTTCGCTCGCTGAGGTCCAAGTTGGCCACACCGTCGGGCAAACTAGTGGTTGCCGTCGTCGTGCCCTTGTCACAGTACGTCGAGTCCGGGCAGTCCGGCACCGTACCGGCCGAGACCCTCGGCGTGTCCGGGACGACGCTGGAGGAGCAGGTGGAGTCTCTGTGTCGTGACGTCATGGAGCCCGCCGGCTTCGCCCTCGAGTCGTGGACGCGCTTGCCGTACCTCTGCGAGGGCGACCTGGAGCAGGCCTACTACTGGCTCGACGACGTGGTCATGGTTCTCAGAGCTGCCGGAGACACGCCGTCATCCTGACATCGTCCTGAAAAGGCGGCGCAAGACGACGTTTTTTTTGTTTTTGTTTTTTTTTTTTTCTTATGGAAAGCAAGAGCCCAGAGCAGAAACCCGTGACGTCACGAGATACTTGTAAAGCAACGTTAGCTGAACGTCACAATGACTAGTTGTACCTATTTTGCTTTAGACTTGGCGTACCACCTGTCGTGACGGCTTCAGCCTGAAGGCGGTGTTCCGAAGATCTTTTGTGGAAAATGTCGTCACGAGCCCATATATCGTTGCTTGGGTTTTTTCAACGGGGAAATGACGACGGGCGCGGTAGGGTTAGGAAGAACTCGACGCTTGAAATTAGAACGCGAAAAATTCCTCGAATACAGCTCTTTTCTTTTTTTTTTCTTTTTTTTTTTTTTACAGCCCATAATGAGTTTTGCAAGTGAACATTTTCTTGGGGTTGTCTCTGCTGTTGTCTATCGTTTTTATTGTGATTCTGCATATTTACGTGAGATAGTTTATATTGTGAATATCAGGTAATTAACACAGTTGAAATAAATTTTGTGCGAAGTTTCGGCATTGATTACAGGATTTAGGATCATATGTACGATGATCGGACGGACATCACTGATCACTGACCGTTTTTGTTTCCTAATTTCCAGCAGCACTCTATTATAATTGGTCTTCTTATTTGTCACGTGTAATATAAAACACGCAATTTAGGATTTAGGCTGATAATCAGATCAAGATGTTTTGCATTTCTACCTCTGGAGTCCTTTTTCTTTTTTTTTTTTTTCTACGCCGCCCCAAAAAGGTATTTCGATTTGGACGAATTTTTCATACTCTTTTATGATATTAAAGTTATGTATGTTCATATACTTATGGCGTATCTAGACGTTCTGAAACATTGTTAAAGGCCCAAGGAATTAAAGCGGTACTAAAATTGTTCTTTAGGTCACCTTTCGTGGCGAAAACTCAATCTGCATGCCTTAGACATGCATCCTATAAAACTCAAAATTACAATCATGCATGTTTTGTTTTTTTATTATTAAAAACCCGACCAAACATCGCGACACGTCCTTTTTTCTGAGATATACGTCTGAAAAGAGACATGTCACTATGTTTCGTTGCATTTTTAATAGCAAAAAAAACACGTTAAATCGCGTTTTTTTTTTCTTCTTTTTTTTAACGTTTAGGGTGTTTAAATATAATTATTGCAATAGAATTACGGAATACACTTTCGTCCCCCATTAACTCGTAGGCGCGTCATCGCCATCAGGGAAAAAGCTTTTGAGTGTCCTTACAAACGTGGATGTGAGAAATAAAAAGTCCCAACTGAGTTCGCTACATTTATGGGTGCTGTCTTCTATGTGCTCCTTGGTATAGAATTTTCAGAATGATGACGAGGTTCCGACTGCTGATGAAGACACTGCATTCTGGTAAAGTAGCGTCAAGCTTCCCGTATAGTCGCCATTTTTGTCCAATGAATGAGCAGTTTCTGTTTTACCTCTCTGTTCCTGGTGAGCCAATTCAAAATCGCGGTGTCAGGTCGCTTTCTGAAGACATTTCTTGCCGCATCGGGGTTTTCGTTATCCACACTCCAGCGAAAAGCGTAACTCTTTGCACCGCCACCACATGCGGCATCGGTGCTTGGCGGCAAATTAAAACTCAGTTTCCTGTCTTGAAATACGCAGGAATATCGATATTATTCTAAGAGATCTGTGCTGATAATTCTTGATAAGTTGATCGCATACCCAGCGCCAAAGACGCTTATATTGTCGAGAAACGCTTTCAGTACGATGACGCGCTCGATAGCGGTCTTAGCGCCGCTGGTTCAGAGCTTTTGAAGCTTCGAAGTTTGGAAAAAGCCGAAATAGCGATTGCCATTGCAACAAAGACTTATCAGCCAATCGTATTGCGAGGTTTTAGTCGTCTGTATGTTAGTATCTGTTTGTGTCCTGCTAGCGGGGAGGGACGCCAATGCGCCACTTTCCCAATATCGGGTGGCTTCAGCACCGACATATTTCCCTAAGGGCTACACTGGAGCACGGGGCCATGGAGCTCGGGCACTGACGCACTTGTCGCTACTTGTGACGAAGGAAACACATCAAGGAACTTGAATCTCGCCTGACTGGTTTAACTTGCGCTTCAGCTCGTGCCGCCGAGGCGTGTTAAAAAGACACTTCGTACTCCCAACTTTCACTGGCACGCAATTTGCAAGGCGGAAATAATACCCTCGCCTGTAATGTGTTCCTTTGAGTACGTCTCTCAGTCTCATCCAAAAAGGTGTAAGCAAATGATGTTTTGCGCTGGGTTCGTGAGCACTTATGGGATCTCTAGAGCAATGGATTTGATGGTGTAACATCAGAGTTTTCGCGAAATCGTTTTTGAAAGACCTCTAAACTCGGCGTCAGCTGCTTTGTGCTAGGTCGCCAGGGCTAGCCCTACAGACCCTTTTGCTTTCAACAAACATGAACTGCCGCTTGCGTCCCAAGCGACTTCCGGTCGCTCCGTCTTTGCAAGCCTGTCGAGCTTGCTTATGTCACCGGTGCTAGAGAGCATAAATCCTACGCGGACAACAAAGTTGGAGATTTAACGAAGGCCTTCGGTTGTACAATTTAACGACTTGGAGGAGGCAAGTTGGCTTACAAGCATATTCGAAAATGTTTAACAGATCTCGCGCTTCTTCGTTATTTTGGCGTTCACCTGGAGAAATGGTGGTCAAACGTTTCATCGACATTCCAAGCAGCGGTGTTAGGGTGGGCTTTGTTCATTCTTTTTATGAACCGGAAGTTCTCTGGGACGTCAAGGACTGGAGCATCGCCTGGTGGCGTTTTGGCAGTCCCGCAACGCTGCGAGAACACGTGGCTTCGTCTTGCGCCTCATTCATTTGCACGCGCTCCAGCGGTAAGGAGACACCAAACGAAGCCACCCATTTTCGCAAGTAACTGTAACAGCGTTGGAGCACTGTTGAAGCTGTGTCAGCCTTGACAATAAGAATGCTTCGAACTTGCGGCTCCAGCTCCCGATGCCAATATCGTTATGCGAATACACGACCTGCGATGGGTAAAGGCCCAGTCACACAGTAGCGCTCGACCACGTGTCTCTCGAGTTACGTTTTTTATTCGAACGCGAATCTCCGGGGCGTTCGGGTGTCGTATGTCGCGTGCAAAACTACCCCTTGAATTGGTTGCCATGTTTCATACGAATTCGTATGGATGTTCTGGTGACTCGCGGTCGTAACTCGTGTTGTACACTCTTTAAAAAAAGGGTGTCTATATATATTCCTTTATTAAGGAAGGAATGATTTGTAACCCATGTCCCTTTAGAAAGGGAGGAAATTTAGTACCTGAAAGCAGAGAGCAAAGTCCCTTCCTCGTCTGCATCTCATCATGGCGGCCCCAAATCGAGTGAATCGAGCTCAATAAGGCTTAACGAGGACGATACGTATATATACGAGGGGGGACCCAAAAGTAACCGGAATGATATAAAAATTAAATAGCGCAAAGGTTAGACAAAGGACAAGGGACAGAGCATGTAGACAGGACAAGCGCTAACTCACAACTGGCGTTTTAATAGAAAAGAAGGAAGGCAGCATATAAATACACCGAAAAAAGGAAGAAAGAAGATTTATAATAAAAGGAGAAAATTGAAAGATATACGTAAACAAAAAGGAAAAAAAAGAAAAGAAAGGGAACAGCGTAACTAAATTAATTTCGGGGAATATATTGAAATTAAGAAAAAGACTATAGCTGAAAGAAAGAAGAAGTTGAAAAGACTAGAAATTCTCGCGTTCCCGCTGAATCAACCTCAAGTTGGCAACCGAAGGTAAAATAATTCTTTGTCAGTTAATGCCACCGATGGTGCACTCACACAAGCGTCTTCCTTTTCCTTGATGGTTAAGGCCTCGTATATTTCTCGTGAAGTTTTATCTCGAAACCGTCGTAGGATTTTGGTTTTTGTCAGGATCGGTTGGAATTTACAGTCTCTAACATGTACTGCGAGATTCCCCGCTGGAGTTGATTTGAGTGAGGTGGCGTGTTCTCGCAACCTGGTGTTGACGCAGCGGCCTGTCTGACCGACGTATATCTTGCCACAAGTCAATGGTATTTCATAAATTACCGGGCTTTGGCGAGGTACATACTTTTGCTTGTGTTTGCTGGTGCACTGAACTTGTCGATCTTGAGGAGTATTTATCTTTGAACACAGCTTCTTGAGCTTGTTTGGTGCTGAAAATATAACAGGGATGTTATATCTAGACGCCACCTTTTTCATGTTGTGACACCTGGTGAATGTAGGGTATCACTGCAGGGCGCTGTCTTGGGGGTTTAGTTTTTTCTTTGCCCTTTCGAGAGATGATCATTCTGTGGCAAGAGTGACAAAATTTAAAGAAATAACTTCTTCTCTCTTTAAGCTATAGTCTTTTTCTTAATTTCAATGTATTCCTCGGAATTAATTTAGTTACGCTGTTCCCTTTTTTTTTTTTTTTTCCTTTTCTTTCCTTTTTGTTTATACCTTTCAATTTTCCCCTTTTTTTTATTATTTGATGTAGAGAAAGGAAATCAGAGATGTTAGCCTGGAGTTGATCTCCTGACTGGCTACTCTGAGTGGGGAGGGGAGTTAGGGAATGAAAGATATAAGTATGAAAAGAAGGCGTTCCATCTCAGGCCCACACACACACTCACACGCACGCGCAGTACATAAATTAGAAAATAAAAAAAAATAAAAAAAAAGGCGGGCAACGTTTGCGACCTTAGGTCAGAGTCTTTTGTCAAGGCCTGTTGCTGACAGGAACTTTAGAAGGGCATTCGTTGACTTCGCAGCGTGGCTTTCGTCATCCCATGGTCCGAGAAGATGTTGAAGAGTGAGGGCTGATCCAGTTGTCTGATGAATGTCTTTGTAGAGCTGGTGCCGATTATCAGTATACTTAGGGCATTCAAGTAATACGTGTTTGATGTCTTCAATGGTTCCGCATAGGGGACAGTTGGGTGATTCGAGCTTTCCGATGAGATGAAGGTAGTAGTTTGTGTAAGACACTTTTAGGCGCATTCTATGAAGGACTGCCTCCCGTCGCCTCTTGAGACCGCGTGGAACTTGGAACGTAAAATTTGGGTCAATTATTTTTAAGGACGAGCTCTGGTGGGCGACCGCTTTCCAATGACGCGCTGCAGTAGACCTCCCCAGGAGTGCCACAGCTGCACGAATGTCTGATCTTGTAAATGGAGCCATAACTTGCTGAACGTGGTCATGGCCACGTGCAGCCATAGCATCAGCCATTTCATTTCCTTGTAGGCCACAGTGGCTAGGTATCCATTGGAAAGAAATTGAATGTCCTAAAAGGTTAGCATCTGCATGAACTTTCAGAATTTGTAGAACTAATTGCCTATTTGGACTCTTTCTACGTGGAGACTGCAGCGATTGGAGAGCTGACTTAGAGTCAGTAATAACTGTCCAAGTGCGAGGAGACACATCTAATATGTAAGAAAGCGCCTCACGAATGGCTACCAACTCTGCCGCAGTGGAGCACATTCTGTGAGACAACTTGTGGCCCGCGCTCAGACAGAGCGCCGGGGACGCCAATCCAATCGATGATCCTTCATGTGTAGTCGATGCATCTGTGTATAAATGGCAGGAGGAAGAGTTCCGCGTATATAAAACAGACAAAGAAAGCTGACGAAGAACAACTGGAGGGAGCGCTGATTTTTTAATTATTCCTGGGATGTCTGTGTGGAGCACAAGAGGGGGCAACAACCAAGGAGGCGTAGCGAGGATGAGAGAGTCCTGATATGCATCTGGAATGTTCTCTTTGTGATCAATAATGGCCTGTGCAATGCGGCTGTAGAAACACCTCTCCGGTATGTCCGCTAGGTGGTGCGAGTCATGCCGTGTAAGGTGCCTTATGTGATTTCGTAGAGTCTTCTGAACGCGAATGGCTCTGATAGGTAGGCAGTGAGTTTCAGCTATTGTATCAATGGTCGAGGTTGAACGAGGTACCCCAAGGCATACTCTGAGCGCCTCTGCTTGAAGAGATTCAAGCTTTTTCATGTTTGTGGGACTTAAACCATGCATAACTGGCAAGCTGTAGCGGAGAACGCCAACGAATAAGCTGTTATATAAACGCAGAAGTCCAGCTACGGATGTCCCCCAGGTTGTGCCGCTTATAAACCTCCCTAAACTAATAAATGCAGAAAGCTTCGTCTTAAGATGTTTTAGTTGCGGATTCCATGTTAGGCCCTTGTCTATATAAACTCCGAGAAAAAGATGATTTGGAGTGTAAGGAATATCTGTACCATGGAGGGAAAGAGGGTAACGGCTCATTTTCATCCTCGTGAAAGCTACAGCTGCTGAT